TCACTGCACACTGGTAGCCTGTATTTCCCCGTTTGGTGAAAATTCAAGGCACTTCACTTGTTCTTGCGCAACTAAATTGTTAAATTTTATATGATGATTTATTTCTACGGTTTTTTCACAGCTTGTAACAGAACCTTTTTGCTTCAAAGGAAACATCAAATCAATTAAAATACAGAACCACACAAGCATTATTACAGATAAAAAAGTTTGATACTTTTCGGTTAGTCGAACGAAAGCGAAAGGTCTCTAGAAAATGTAGATCGCCGACAACTATTTTTTTATTACTTAAAATGAATAATAAAAAAAATTACATTTCCTTGCACTCTAATTGAAAAAAAAAACTTTTTATATATTTTTTTAAAATTATAAATAAAAAAAAAATTGAATTTCCTTGTGCTCAGTTACTAAAAATTGACTGTGTTTAAAGCAATCTCGTCAGGTAATATTTTATGGATGATTTGGGCAACATTGAATGCAAAGTGCTCACACTAGGTGTATTATGGGGGGAAAAAACACGTTTTAAAAAAAAAATGGGGGGGGGGAATAGCTGTTCTGCAATTAGAGAACAGAATATAAAATGTTATAGCTCAAGCGCCAGGAGTCAGTTATATATTTTACTGCTATAACAAAGTATGGCAGAAAAAAAAAATAACGGAGGAAAGATCACTGGGTATACATTGGGACTGTGGACATTTGTTTTTCCTTAGATTAAATATTTTTTTCAGCACTCTTGTGGGGGTTGCTTTTTTATTTATCCATCTTTGTTTTCAAGTTAACTCCACAAAAAATTAACATATATAGGGAAATTACTCATTAAAAATGTTTTATGGATAACACTGAGTATGACAAATATCAACAATAACCATTTTTTTTTTAAAATCTTCAACTTTATAAGTAAACAAACTAAAATAGTTTAATGAAATTTTCAGGTGATTTATTACTTCGAAGAAAATACACAATTGAAAATCATAAGAAAAGCACATGATGCTAATAACAAATATTGAATAAAAATTTCAATAGACAAAGGTGAAATAATATCTACTTCAATAAAATTTTTTTTTTAGATATCACAGCTTTCTTTCTTTCAAAATCCTAAAGCAACTTTTATATTGTCTTTAAGTCAATAAATAGCTATCAAGTATGTTGAAATACAATAGAACCGAAAGTAAAAGCAAGGAAAGAAGAATTGAGTAATGAAGATAAGAAAAACAAGTAAGCTTATAGGATTGTAACTGGATATCTTGGTTTAGGATGAAACTGCAATTTATCATTACTAAATATAAAAAAAAAAGAGAATTCTATTTAATTTTTTACTTAATATATAAAAGCTTGAATATAAATCTATGCAAGCTTTTCTTTTAAAATTCTTTGAATGGGAAAGAAATTTATATTCAAATGCTCACTTTGTTGTTCCTCATAAATCTTTATTTTTAATTTAGGACTTACGTTCGCTTTATGTAAAGAACATACACAAATAATACCAGCACCACTCCTTTTTTTGCTTCTCTATACATAAAATGGAGAGATTTTCCTTAATAGATCAACAGAACAGCTAAGTTGAAGAAACTGTTTAGTAAACTAAGTTATTAAAATGTTAATAACTAACAGTGTTATAAGATTCAACATTGCCCTTTCTTCTAGAAAATGAACTAAAAACATTCCCTTTTCGAAGAAAGTGCCTTAGCCAAGTTTATGGACAGGTAGAATGGCCATTAGATTACTAACTAGATATACACTTTTTGTAAGGCTGAATCGGTAAATTATAGGTATACAAAGATTTTATATAAGAGCTCTATTTAAACTCAACACTACAGAAAAAACAGTTATTTCAACAAGTAATCATAGTATGCAGAGTATAGGTAATACAGACACAATTTACATTAAAATTATATTTTAAGGCACTAGCATTAGAGGATATTTTTTACATTATTTTCTTCACTCCTAATATTAAAAGAGTTGCAGCCATTGTTATGGGTTTTCAACTATGCTTACATTTTGTTTTGATGCACAAAACAAGAATTATAAAGCTTAAAAACTTGAAATTACAAAGGTGTGTAGAAAAATATATAGGGAGTAGTAGATATAAAAATGTTAACATTTGATAGTTCAACAATTATTAAGTTATAAAAGGTAGTAAACTTAGCATTTTAGCTTATTCCGAAATTCTAATTTGTTTGTAAGGTATTGGCAATAAGTGCTTTTTTTTCACACTTTTTTTCCCTTTCAAATATAGACTATGACTATTTATTCATTGTTTTGAGAAAATTTACTCATCTCACTTGAAATCTTTATTTTATAAACTTGCGCTTCATGTCAAAAGCAACAAAATAAAGAGAGAGAGAGAGAGATCAGATGTTGCCAGACATAAAACTTAGCATTTATACAGAAACTTTTTAAAATATAAAAGGTTTAATTCTAGAGAATTTATATTTTATTATCTAGAGAATTTATATATAGAGAGAATTTATATTCAATTTTAAAAACTAAATGTCTTACTCCCAAACTTAAGGAATTTAAACTAATAAACAAATAAATTAGCACAGTTATTTGTGTTATATTTAACATAGTAGAAAATATTCATCTTCCTTTTAGACAGCGAGTTGATACAGCATAAGGAATGAAAAATATCTCAAAATAAAAAGAAAAATGTATATTTTAATGTTTAAATTAAACATTTATTTATTATTTATTTAATTCCTTAGTTTTATTGTTCCTTTTCTTGTGCCTTATTTATCCAAATAATTCAAAAATTTTTTCAAAATATTTTAAAAAGTATATAAAATTGTATATTATTAAAATTTTTTTATTTAACAAAGAAAAAAAAATCGATTTTACACAATTTTCGAATAAATTAGCATATATGTTAAAATTATAGAAATCAAATATATTGAAATGATAATTTAGAAACAAGATTTATCAATAGTCAGGTAGTCCAATTTGTTTTGGGCAAAAAAAAAACATATGAACATTCTCAAGTTACTTAAAATATACTTATTAACTCTCCATAATTGACAACTTTCCTTTCTCTTTAAACATTTTTATTTATGAGGAAAAATTTAGTAGCAATTTTTTTTTAATTGCACCAAAAATTTGAAGATATTTCTGTATGATAATCTATCACGTCAACTACAAACGCCAAGCTGCCAAATAGATTTTAAACTTGCAATTTAAAAAACAAAACAAAAAATCATGTAGACGTTTGCCCGGGGGTGACAACGAGTTATACCTTTCCAGTTGGTCCCTTTCTGTGATTTTTTTTAGTTTCTCGTGGGCTGCTGCCTGGAAGTTGCCAAGACTTGGTGATTATTCTGCCACAGGTCACAATACAGAAATCTTCCCAAAAATTTCTATAGGTCAATCTGAATTTCCTTCAAACCTCAATTGTGTGATTTGACATATTCTGCAACTCTGCATATTAACAACTTATCTAAGACATTATTTTTAATGTATGATCAATTTTTTAAAAACATTTTCTAATAAGCTTGGCTGACCATGTTGAAATACTGCAGGTAAATACTTTGACAAATAACACATTTCTTACCATATGACAATATTTTCAGTGATTAATTAAAAATAATATTGAATAGAACAATAAATCCACCAATTTTTTAAATTAATAAATAAATTTTCCCAATTCGGATATAAATACAATTCCACGTCCTAATGTGTAGAGGATGTTAATTAGCAAATTTTTTCCTATTCACATAAAGAAAAGATTTATACTTTTACGTTGTTCGAAATATAAAAGCATGCATGAAAACAAATAGAAGATTTTGTAAATCTGTAAGGGGATAATGACTCTCATATTCCCTTAGGCTGTAGATTCCTTAGACTATATGTTATTATTTACTATGTCCCTGCTTGCCTTGGCAATAACAGGATATTTAAAATTAAATGGTAAACATGATTTGAAAAAATTTTGCATGCTGCAGAAAAATTAAACTATTATAATCAACCGTAATTAAAAAAAACCAGGGGTCTGTGCAGACATTTTGTGAAAGGTCCGTTTTTGTAAAATTGTGAAAAAATTACTTGTAGTATGTGAATATAAAATAAACAGGGGTCTGTGCAGACATTTTGTGAAAGGTCCGTTTTTGTAAAATTGTGAAAAAATTACTTGTAGTATGTGAATATAAAATAAACGTTAAGTCACATAATTGCAAAATTTTTTTTTTCAAGGAGTTTTAAAATTGCAAAGACATACAAGATTATGCTCAACACTGTAAAATTATATTTAAAAAAATTAAATTTCAAAAAATAAACAGCGATTGCTGTTACTAAATTAGAGATGCAACATAAAAATATTTGGTATTTAGCCTATACTGCTCAACGCAGAATATTAATTTCGGACAAATAAAGGAAGAAGCGTCTGCAGAAGACAAAATTTAGTTTGTTTACATCTGTCTCTCCCCCCCCCTCCTGGGAAGGGTTTATTCGATTAACAAAACAATAATGAAGATAAACAAATTTGTGCAGGGTCCAATTAAAAGATAATTTACTTTGTGAAGGGTCCGTTTTTAAGTTAAAATATTTTGTGAAGGGTCCGTTTTTAATGAAAAGATATTTTATGAAGGGTCCATAACGGACCCAAATTTCTTCCAAACAGACCCCTGAAAAAGTATTGTGACAATTAATCAACTCCAAACTTAGTTAGGAAATATAAACAATTATTGATAATATAATTATCTACCAAAATTTTTTTTTTTTAGGATTCCAGTTGTCTTATCTTTTAAAGTCAGTGTAAATTATAATGATTTAACATGTTTTAATTAATGGATAGTTTTTAGATTCATATAGAGGAAATTAATAAAATGTTTAAAATATAAATTTAATATAAAGATATCTTAGCTATATAAAGCTTGTTAAATACAGCTAAAAGATATCTTAATGTAATTTTCTTTATAGACATCCCTATGTATCAATTACAGAAATTAATAAAGATTTCATAAAATAGTTAACAAGTTAATTAGAATCTAATTAAATTATAATAATTAAATTACCTTTGCAAGTCTTGCTCTTTTTATCAAATCATTAAGCTTTCTTAAAGCAGCATTTCTGGGAAGACTTTGTAAATCCTGAAAAAGGTCTTGCTCTTCAGCCTCAAAAAGTTTTCGATTGTAATCATACCTCAAAGGCTGATCCCAAAATGATCCTAAATACACTCTTGCAACTTCTGGAGTATTCAATACTTTACCCAGTGACCACATCAAGGCACCATATACACGCATCAACTGTTGATGATCAATCATATCAGCTTTATTCAACACGATCCTGATTTTATCATCATGTCCTCTAAGTGCTTCAATGCTCCTTCGAAATTCATCAGAGATATCCAATTTATGAGCATCAAACAGAAGTATGATTCTATCCACTCTTTCTGCAAACCATTCTAAAACACCAGCAAAATCATAACCTCTATCTACTCTTTGTTTTTCACCTGATAGGATACCTGGAGTGTCAACTATTGTAATGCTTTCCAAAACATCACAGTTGACTAAAGAACATTGTAATCTATTGAGAAAAGCGTTACCAAATTTGGCTAACGGACGGAATTGTTTTTTAGGATCGACTACAAGAGCATTACCAGGAATGACAGTTTCTTGATTACCATGCATAACAGCAATAAAGCGATCCGTTGTTGGTTCGGGTCCGATTCTGATGCCAGGAAAGTCTTTTTCTAATAAGTACCGGATAAATGTCGTCTTTCCTGTAGAGTACTGACCGACGAGCAGTATCATCGGTTTTGCATCAAAATCTGGATCGTCCAGAGGCGGAGAATGGAATTCATGAAATAAATACTGCTCTTCAAGAGGCAATATTTTAGATTTATAAATTTTTCGCAAACCATCCACAACGGTACTGTACAGTTCAGGTTCTTTTCGCCGACTTTCGTCTTTATTTAACCAGCTAAACATTTTTGTAATCAGTTATTTTAAGTTATAAGTTAGACTTTATTGATCGTCAAATATAAAGACACTAATGATATCACAGTACTTCAAAAGTTGACAAGTAGTTCTATTTCTGCTCTTGATGCAAGGAAACGAAAACGACGACACTTAATAAACAAGTGGAAGTTGAAGTGCAAATGTATGCTAGACAGTTTCTTAAAGCTAATTTGTGTTTTAGAAACTTATTACAATTTTATTATCTGGGAATAAATTTGAAAAAATTATTAAAGTGGATTTAAAATGCAGAAAACTGTTTTTCCTCCACAGTATTGAGATATGGCTACATTAAATCATTATTAATAAATCATAATTGGCAACACTTTTCTTTTGTTTATTTTGATATTGACAATTTTTGTGCTGGTTGCCCTGGTTGGTTATGGAATTGGAAATGTAGCTTGTCTATTTCATTTTGTTAAACTGTATTTGAAAGTATTTGAAGTGTACTGTATTTTAGGAACAACTTAACATTATCTAAGTAATATATTGGTCTTCTAGAATGGAAGATATTGTTGTAAAAGTAGAACCAGATGAAATAACTAGTGTTGGAGATCAAGAACTTTTTTCTTCTGAATCATCTCAGTCAGAAATTGCAATTAATAATAATGAAAGCAACTCTAATATTAGCATATCAGATTTTAATAGCTTAAATTGCGAAAATGAGGAAGTTACATCTGATACAAATTCGAATAACTTGGATGAATTTTGTTTCGAAACTGATCATCTTGCCTTAAAAGCTAATAATGATTACAAAAATCTTTTAAAAGTAAGTTACAAAGAGAGCGTAATTTTAAAATATTGCGAGAGTTGAGATTTTGGAGCAAAATGTTCTGGGTTTGGATTGTTTTAAACCGCGGTCCTTAATGTACCGTCGTAAAGTGTTTAACTTGACCAATGTCAAAAGTTAAAGGAACTGCCAAAAGATTATATTGCTGAACAAACAAATTATAACCGTATCATTATAAATGTGACTCTAATAATTTTGTTACATTAAGAAAATAACCTTTTACATTAAGAAAATATTTTTATTACATTAATTAAATTAAGAAATAAACTTAATTATAAAAGTAGTATTAGTTAAACTGCACAAATTATTTTAAATTTTAATAGCAAAGTTTAAGTGTTATATGACTTTATATAATTAATATCTCTAGCATTATTGTAATACTTGATATTTAAATAATTTATTATATGCATGCGGATCTTTAATTAACTTAGCTACTGTGTTAATGATTCCTTTTCTTGGAAATAATACCTGCAGCCGTCTAAATTAAAACATGATTAAAAACATGTACGACTACAACTGCATATTTCCCTGCAGTTGTAGTGGTACATGAGGTAGTCAATAAATCTACTTAAATTTTTATATTTTCACCTACCATTATTTCTGAAAATTTAAAAATATTTCTTAGGTTATGCTCATTTTTTTAAAAAGATTTAAGGGTTTAATCAATCAGTAATATGATTTTATTATTGCACTTTCCTTTTTAAAACTATCTCAATTCTAGTTAGGTATACCTATTGATTAATCGTCGTTCATTTAACATTATCCTCATGTTTAATATTAAAAACATTAATTCTCTTTTTCTCATTATTTTAGATAAGTTATGGTCAACTTTTTTTCAAACTTTGAAGATTTATTATAGGGCTTTCTGGGGGAAGAGATGTTTTTAATCATGTTCTTATGTGTCTGTGATAAAAATGAAATGAGTAATTTTTGTCATAGTTTTAAATAATTATTGTAGTAATTGCTATGAAAATTTTGTAAATAATAATAATAAACTAAACTTTATTACTTCTACTTGACGGAGTCAGGACATACTATATTAGGTTTTATATCTGTACGATTAAATTTTATATTTATACAGGGGATTGTTTTGTATTTTGAAAGAAGTCCAACCTTGATAATTTATATTCATATAAATGGAGAGGCATTTTAGAAGGACAATGCCTTAAGAAGAAAAAAAAATTATTCAAATGTTCAGGTGCAATTCATCACAATTTGTAATAATTTCTGCTTTGCCTTCTAGATTATTTAATTTCTTGTAAACGCATCACCAATTTTTTTTGTCCATGTTTGCCTTTAGCTAATTTATACAAAAAGAATTGATATTAACAATTAAATTAAAAAAAACAAAACAATTTTTTAATAATACTTAATTTGAATAAATCATAAAATTATTTATACTAATGAAATATTTGAACGTTTAAGGAATATGAAAATTAACTTTTACTTTTGAGTATCATTTCTAAAATTTTTTTGTCTGTGCCACTGTAATTATTTTATCTTAATGCCACTTAAACTTTTTTTTTTAAAAAATCAATGTCAATATTTTTTTTCTTGTTATAAATATTGAATGTGATGATAGATTATTGCTAATACATATATGGATTTTAAATTAACTTTTGTGTAGACGATATCCATACTTGAAGCTCAAAGATGTCAGGCTATTAAAGACTTAGACAGACTTCATGAGCTACAAGAAGAAGCACTGACAGATCCCATTGGATTTGTAGAGCGTTTGCAAAGAAATGAAGATATGAACATTCCCAGCCCTCAAATAGTACAATCTGTACCTGAAATTGATTGGACCAAATATTCTCTTAATAACAACAATACATCAGCATTTGGGCGGCGTCAGTTAACTCGATTATCAGCTAAAGTAGCTCAAGACTACACAAAGAATAGTGAGTAAATAATTTTCTTTAAGCTCTTAAATTGTAAATATTTTCCAAACTGTTCAGCAGGGTTTAAAAATTATATTTCCAACATCCCCATGTTATGTAAAAATTCCTATTAGTCATGTATTTTCTACCCTTACATGCCTGTAAATCTTGAATCAGAAATGCAGTAAAATAACAATTAGATGATCTCCAAAATTTGACAAAAACCTGCAAGATACTTGATAGGGTTTATTAACCACTTTACTAAATGATAATAACTTTGATAAAATACTTTTTGTTTAAGAGGGATTAAAACATGTAGGAAAACAATATTATATTGAATTTACTTTTGGATATCTCAAGTTTATTTACTTTATACAGTAAATCCGGAAAAAATCCAGATTTTTTGCTAACCGTGATCTGGAAGTTTCTGGAAATCCGATCACATTTATGCATAAAAATTCATGTATTTTTTATTTATATCTATATATATTATTTATATCTAGAATTTATACTTGGCATAATTTTTTGAAATGCATCATTAATGACTTTACTCATGAAATTTTCTGGATTTTTGAGTTGGGATCACAATTACCAATCACCCCTGTTTATAGTAATCCTTAAAAAGAAAATTGCTGAACTAATTGATTTAGATCAGTTACCTACCAATGGTAATTTTATTATTTAAAAGTATATTTAGAACTATTTACACATTTTGCTTTAAGAAAGTAAACACTTTAATATTTTCAATTATTTGTTTAGTTCTGAAAGGAAAGTCCAATGGTGCAAATGATCAGAAGACTCAAAAGACTCACATGCATTGGTCCTGTGAAGAACAAAAGCGCTTGGAAGAACTTCTTGTGCAATTTCCACCTGAAGAAGTTGAAACTAGAAGATGGGAGAAGATTGCTAACTGTTTGGAAAATCGGACTCCTATTCAAGTAATGTTTTAACAATATATTTGTGCCATTAGTTTATTTTTAATTAAGCCAAAATCTTTTACTAATTGAAGAAAAGGAAAGCCAAATCAACAATTGATGAATTCAGTGGAATTGGATTTTAGAGTGATTGAATTTATTCTTTGACCAGGACAGGCAGTCCAGGTCAAAGAATAAATTGTCCTGACGAAATCTTCTGCAGAAGACTTGTCACCCTATGCTTTTATGCTAAATGCTATGAAGATTTAGCTATTTAACATGTTCTATTTTTTTTTCGATCCTGTGTAAAACCAAGAAAAATGTAAGGGAAAAAAATGAAAAAAATTTATGTTTTTTTTTTTTTTTTTTAACTTGCACTTGAATAAGTTGTAGTTAGCATACATAAAAAATGTAACAATAATGTAAAAATTATGTAACATAAAAAGGACATATGTTTTGGTACATACTATCACCATGTCATAAAGCAAATTTGCTTTTTTTATTTTATTTATTATTTTGTCAAAATACAGAATGATAGCAAAACATGCATTGGTGTATGAGAATTGCATACAAGTTACACCAAGGAAACATGATTCATCATTATGAGGTAGAAAACAAGATCTTTCTTTGAGACTTGTTTGTAATCCTCTCGCTTATATGTTTCTCTCCATCATTATGGGTTTTGACACTGATGAAAGTGTTTCTTTATGGTACAAAAATAATGGTATGTTTGTTTTATGTTACATGATTTGTGCTTTTTCATGTTATTCTTATTTTTTTTAAAAATTTGCAGCTCTAAGTTAACCCATTTGTATTAGAAGTTACTCTTGCGTATGGCAGATATTACAAGGGGAAAATTTTCTTGTTAAAATTTTGTTTATTAATCAGTTCAAAGTAAAGGTTATAACTTGAAAGCTTTGTAATTAATTTATGCAATATCAAGCTTTATTACAAAGCTTATCACTTCGTTTGACATGATAATTGTAAAATTATTTATGTTTTAAATAGGGGCTTTATGTTACCCCAGTTAAAAATTATGTCTGAAAATTTTTTTTCTATCTACTTTGTACATTCATTTAAATTCATCAATGTATAAAGTTTGTCGAGAGGTGTGGTTGAAGGAAGGGCCGTGAAGTGTAGATCATCCGCCATCTGCTTGTGCTAGATGTTGTATATCTCCATTCAAATGAAAAACACAGATTTTTGTAGACGAAGGCATTTATTCAACATTTTTATTTCATTTCGGTTTTGAGAAACATGTTCATTTCAGTAAGCGGCTCATCAATGCACAAGAGCCTAACTGCACCACGTGCATGCTGGATCCTCCCTGTGTGCTCCAGGGAGTAGATAGTAATTTAATTTAAGTCATTTGAATAATAATTGTTTTCTTGCTGAATTTACCTGATGCATCAAATAATTAGGAGATAAGGAAAAACTTATTATGGTAAAAATCAATGATTAAACTCTAGAGCACACAGGGGGAAAAAAACAAAAATTATCCTGCTGCTTAAGAAAGCAACCAACTATTCGAGATCCACGGGGAATACTGGTCTATCTCCAAAAGATAGCGTCCCCTCCCTAGCGGTTGCAAGAATCTCTAAAGACGAGCTATGAGTCGAGCCCTAGAGATCCTGCAAAGGCAATGAAGAGGGCGCTCCTGTTGGAGACAGCCCAGTATGAAAAGTAAATATTGTGGTGATCCCATGATCACACCACAAAGTTCATTTTCAGTTCATAAAATTTCCTGTAGATAATGTAGAGGTGAATAAGAATTATCTAATCTACAGTAACTCACATTAGCATTTTAAATAAAAAAGTTAATTAAGTTAGGTTGCTCGTATAATGCTTATGTCACAATAATCTGTGAAGTTTAAGTTGCTTCAATTATTTTTCTCAAGGTTCTTATATTTTCATATCTATATTATACAGTCACTCGACTGTATAAGTCGACTGACTTCGAGTGACTGTATAAGACACTAATGCATATAGATATTGTTAAATAACTGATGAAATTTCTTTTTTGTGTTGGCAACAAAGAAATGAAATATCAAATGAGTGAGGAGTCATGAGCAGGAAAGTTTTAACTTACATGTTTAGAAATGTCTAAATGAAATGTATTTTTGTTGAAAAGAAATCTAAATTATCAAGCTTACATGAATATACTTATCAAAAAGAAAAGACTACTAATTATTTTGAAAGTAATTTAAAGAATGAAATACTCAATATGATGAATTTGTTATTGGTGTAAGTACATGTTGAAAATGATTAAAATAAGCTAACATGTGGTTGAGTACAGTTCGCAGAGAAATGTAATTATTTATTCTCGAATTTATTTTATTTTGAATTCAAAAGCTCGATGAGAAATATTTATAAATTTTTTTTATAAATGTATATATTCATAATTTATTCAATCTATTGCTGTTAATTTTTTTTCATTGGCATTATACATTTACATATTTTTTAGCATTTGCAAGTTCATACAAATAATTAAAATATTAAATGAATTATGCATTGTTGATTGGATATAAAGAAAATAATATTAAAAAATCTGTTATTTTTCCATGGAACCTTGGTTTTCTGAGGAACACCTTTTAGAAACTGTTACTCTAGTTCATGTAGTTTGATTGTTTTAATGTTTAATATGCATTTCTTTTTACCTAGGTGGCCAGTAGAGTTCAGAAGTACTTTATAAAGTTAATGAAAGCAGGTATACCCATTCCTGGGCGAATGCCAAGTACAGTTTACTTAAAAAAGGTATTATAATTTTGTTTAACTCTTTATATTTTATTTCATACTAAACAAAATTTCATTACACTGTTTTTCTTCATCAAAATTATTATTATTAATGTATGTATTTGAAGCTATAAAGATATATTGATTGTTGTGATGTAAATATTTGTGAAACTCTGTCATATTTCTTTAAAATTTCTATACCCTAGGGATATATATTTTAGTTTCTTTAATCTATAGAATGATCTAGTTTCAAAATTCCTTCAGAATAAAAATTTAGTTTCAAAATATAAAAGTATAATTGAGTCATCACTTTTTAGTCGTTCCATTACTGATAATGCATTGTCACCGTTTTTTTTTCATTTTTTTTCTTTCAAAATTCCATTTTTTTTTTGCTGCAGCTTTAAATATTTTTTTCTCTTCAAAATTCTATTTTGTTTGTTTCAGAGAAAGAATAGAGAGCTAAGATGTTACTAGACATTAATTTTCGCATTTATATTGAAATTTATAAAAATATAAAAACTTAATTCAGTTGTTTCCTATTTGATCTCTTATTATGTTATAAGTTTTGTTAAGGAGTAAAATTAATTGAAATTTTTTTTCAAGTTCAGTTGATTATTTTTTTAGTTCAGGTTATTGTTCATTTTGTTTTGATTTAAATATTTGCAGATTCTTTCATAAAATCATAATGATTACAAAATAATCTTTGTTTTGGGGGAAAATATAGTTTTTTAAGAAAAAGAAAACAATTCAGAATGAGGAGGCTGGTGAGCATGGAAAACATGGGTCGAGCCTTCTAGTTTTTATAAATAACTCTAGTTAATTTTGTTATTATTATTAATTTTGATATTTGTGTTTTGTTATTATTTAATTTAAAAAAGAAGTAAGCATCTCTTTTATTTAAACTAAATTTCTTAAAGAATAGAGATAAAAGCGTTTCATAAGATCAAACTTTTAACAGAAATAATAATGAATTTTCTAAATTGTCCTTTTTTGTTTTGTTTAATATTGTAAATATTCTAGATATGTAAAAACGAACAATTTTAGATTGTGAAAATTAATGATTTTAATTATCATTTTATTATTTTTTAGTATTTTTACTTCTTTATCTTATATTTATTTCTGTTTCATGCATATAAATGTATCTGTAAGTTTTAAAATTCGGATCAAACTTCTCCCAATCTGAAATTTTACTCTGGACTTCTCAGAATATGATGACAAATTGTTACTATTTATGTGAAATACTGGAAATTTTAATTTTATGGACTCATTTTGATTAATTTGATGTAGTTGACAAGTCTGTAGCATTTTTTTAAATCTTTATCAAATTTTATTTAAAGTTAGGTTCATAAATTTAAACTTTTTGAAATACGTTCAGTACATTGACATTTTTTATGTAGATTTAATCTATATCTTAATCTTATCGATTTTGTAAGTTTTAAACATTGCAGTGCAACTTGGAAAAATAATTTTTACGTGACTGCCAAGGCAATGATAGATTGCCTAGGAATCCTGTGTATACTTATAGCCAGAACCCCCTTTTTTAACAATTTGAAAAAAACATTACTTAATAACTTAGATTTTTATTTTAATGAGATTCTTTGAAGGACATGTATATAAATTTTGTTAAATAATTATGATTTGCCCTTATTTTATTGTGTGTTGGTCACACCGATTTTGCTAAAATAATAGTTGACTATTATTTGATTAAAAAAAAATTAATGAAATTAAAATTCAAAAGAAAAACTTTAGAAAAAATGTTTACATCTTTATGAATACACAGGTGCACATATTTGTAACCATCAATAAACATTTTAACTGCAATTTTTGTTAATTTTTCAAGAAAGAGAAATAAAGCTGCTGAAATATTTGCATACACTTTTTCCATTAATGAAAAAATAGGAGAGAGCTTTCTTATTTATAAAAAAAAGTGAAAGGTGTAATTAAGGCCTTTTTTTTAAAAAAAATTAAATTTCTCAAAAATTAAAAAATAGGAAATTTGTATTTTAATTGCTAGAAAAGTATATATTTTCAAAATTTCTAATGTGATATGGAGGTGTGCTTTATTTTTAATATCTCTGAAGTTATATGCCCTTATGTAATTATCTTGTTTTCCCCCTCTGTGTGTCTTATTGACTCCTTTTCTTTTACTTTTTATAGAAAATTTACCTTATTTTTTATTTTACTTATTTTAGCAAATAATCTTGTTTCATTAACTTGATGGAATTTTATTCAAGCAATTTCAAATTATGCATATTGTATTTAAAACATTTTCTTCAATAGGCGAGACAAGATAGGCTATGCAATTATCTCCTCTTCCTTCGCAAATTCACTTTATTTTTATTTACTTTGCTTTTATTTTACTTTTTATAGCAAATGATCATGTTTCATTAAATTTATTGATTTTTAACTAAGCAATTTCAAATACATATTGTAATTAAAATTATACATATGAAATTATAAATATTGTAAAAATTATACATATTGTAATTAAAAATCTTTTTCAATAGGCTAGACGCAATATTATTCGTCAACAGCCAAGTACATTTTTAGTTTCCCATTCTCTTCCTGTGTATATGCCAGAAGTTGAAGAAGACTATAGTCGAAAATTTAATGCTCCTCTTAGCTTAAGCGATAGTAAAGATATCAAAATAGAAATGTCTGCAAATGAAGTAACTATATCTCAATTTTGCAGTATAATTTTTGTTTCTTTTTTATTGCTTAAATTTATAAGTGTATATTGTTTTAGGATGATGAAGAAATAAACCCAGAGTTAAGGAATAGCTCTGAATTTAATGAGTTAAAATGTTTAAAGAAAGTCTTGAGGGACAAATTGAAAACATGTGGCTTAGCTGAACATATAGGATACAAAGTAAGGCAATTTTAAGATGATTGTTAATTTCCACAAATTATTATTTTTTAGAATTTAGTTGTTAAATTAAACTTTTATGTTTTTTTTTCAAATTAAATGATTTAATATACATATAACAGTAAAAGGTTTCAGCTTGTTACTTTAAGTTCTATTATGAGAAATTCATAATTAATTTTTTTTTGTAAGTAAAAACCCCAGTAACTTTCAATTTTAGTATTTTAATTATTCTCATTAATGATTTTTCACATGCTTAATTATATTAACTGGGATTTGAATTAAATATATTTTTGTTAAAAGTTAAATTTGGTTTGGAGATCAATAAATGTTGTTTTTTGACCTTAGGATATTGAAACATAAAATGATTTACAGAAAATTTTGTTTATGTTATTAAAAGTATGTATAAAGCTGAATCATTAGGTTTTTTCAGTGTTTTGTTTTTAAACTATTTATATATTAAAATGCATAACAGTTTTGCATGATTTTAAAATCTTAATAAAAAATTATGTTTGATATATATACAAGTATATGGGTCATTCTCACAAAAACAGTCATTTTCATGTCCCCAGTACATTTTATGTTTGTTTTACTACTTACGAAAAAAAATTTCCAGGGAAAGTGTCCTCCAGAATACAGGCTAACAAAAGAATAAAAATAAAATTATCAATTTTTATTTTTTATTTATTTTAGGTAATTAAAACATACCAATATTTGAAATTAA